CCCGTCAAAGTCGGAACGGGTTCGGGTATTACCCGTGGGTACGGGTATATTTGCCATCCCTAGTTCTAATTAGTACTAAATAAATAAATAAATAATAAAATAAAATGTTTAGTTTGCTTTATTAAAATCTAAAAATAAAATATCATTATATAGGTTATTAACATTCAAAGTATACACATATTCAACAATATCTTATAGTAACAATAAGTTCACATCTAAATCCAAAAAGAAAATGTCAAATACATATCAATATATATTGATAATGATAATAAGTTCACATCTAAATTCAAATGAGAAATATCCAATTATGCCTTACAATATTACTAACATTAAGCTCACAATTAAATTCAAAATTTTAAAAACTAATCAAAATTATCAAAGTCATAATATTCATTAAGGTCAAATCCATCAAATGCCATTTGTTAGCAATTGCATTGCTTCCATAAGCACCACTTCCACTCCCAAGTTGATGATCATGTGAATCTAAAATTGGTTGGTCAAAATCTTGAATCACTTTGTCACCTAATCAAAAAATAAAAAATAAAATAAAAAAAGGAAAAAAAAAACTTTTAACTAAATAATACTTACAAAATATAACATATTCAATATAATTAAACATTAACCTATGTTATTTTTTGATTCACCAACTAATGGAATTGCATTATCTTGATAAATAGTATTCTCAAACTCATAACTTTATTCTTTCTCAATTATCCAAAATCAACTCTATGATTTTATTTTACTTGTCACTAATTGGTTAGACTTTCTTGTATTTATCAAGTATAATTAGTTTATGATTTCATTGCTGCTTAAAAAATTTAATAATTACTTCAAAAAATCACTTTCTTAAAGATTATAATAAACTGATAGAAAGTGTTGTAATATCTAAAATATAAAACACCAAAACTTGATACACTTTCTAGTGATTTACTTGTCATTTTTTTATGATTAAAATTCATCTATTCTACAAAATTTCAATTTCAATTATTGCGTTTGAAGTTAAAAGTTCTCAAGCAACACGAGCCTTATAATTTCAATTCTGTTTTATCGCAACCAAACAATCACTTTCAACTGGATTCCTATTAGAATTATTGAGTCATTTGATCCACAAATCTCGTTTACATACCTCTGTCGTTCACACATTTCATCCACAAGTCTTGTTTACCCATCTTTCTTGTTCATGCATTCCAAAATATATACTATATTTAGATTCAAGCGTTGTACATAATGTTCTTGTCTGTCTTTTCACTTCCAATCTTAAATTATGTTTTGAAATTTGAAGAGAAAACTAGTGACAATGTGTTCATTTTTATAGGAGTTTCATTGTGATGTTGTTATTATTTTTTCCATCAATTAGCATTTTTTTGGCAAAATGTTCTTTTTCTTTAGTTGGGCTTGTATGCCTTTATGGATCGATGTGGATTTTGATTAATTGAATAGTTACTACTTCAGATTCTAAATTGTCAAGGGTGTTATTAATATAAGAGATGCTTCTATATCAAATATGTTTAAATAATAGTAAATTCACGTGTCATTTAAGTGTGATGACACATAAACATAAAAAAGTATCAAGAATGAAGCTTGTTAGACGACTTCAAAATTGTAATTGGAAACAGAATACATACATGTAAGCCAATGAATCTTAATTTTTGTGTTTAATCAAACATGTTATTAGTTATTGACCTTTATTGTTGTTGTCGGTTATGCTTTGGATTATTAAATGTTTGTATCTTTTATCTATTCAATTATAATTCTATAGTTTTGTTGAAGCTTAGGAAGTTTCTCTTTTGTTTTGCAGTTATGTAATGAGTAGCATCTTGTACCAAAGGACATGGGGGACAATTTTAAGAAAGTCACTATTCAAGATATTATTCGATCTCAAGTTTTTAATATCGTTAAATTTTTCCATTTGCATGTACTTTTGATTCTTATTATTCAATAAGGAATTTCATATTATTTTACACATAAATCATTTGATTGAAGCATGGTGGAGTTTCACTCAGAGATGAGAATGTAGTTGTTTATAATGTCAAAATTGATTTGACTTGCAGAGAACATATTCCTCTAAAAAGGTATCTAGTAATGAATAATCATACATAGACCTTCATTTTGTTTTAACTTCCTAATATCATATACTATTTTTTTTCCTTCTCTTTTTTTGGTTTTTGTTTCTGTACCATCTACTTTTCAAGTTACACCAATGAATCTAATTATCTTTTATCAAGACATTTCATATATAATTTTGAAGTTTAATTGATTTTGATGGTATCTATATTTTATTAGTAAAACATGTCGTTTTTTTAGATTTGTAAACCCTTTCACCTCATGTGTAGTTTGATAGTTTAGTTTTTTTAGCTATTCTTCCAAAATTAGTTAAAGTTCAAACTCTATTTTTACTACTTCTTTGGGGATACTTAGTTGCCTTTTTTTTATAAAAAAAAAAACTACATGAATATTTAAAGTGTGTGTATTGGGCATTTTGATAGGAGTTTAGTTTGGAATTAAATTATGCTAGTTTGTACTACATTTATTGGTTCAATAATGTATTCAAGATTATAACATCATAAGTCACTTGCTACCTACATTTTACCAAGATATGATAGTTAAGGTTTATGTTAAAAAATCAAAGTTAATAAGTGTAATTGAATCCTATACACGTTTGAACTTTCCTTTACACATTCAAGTTGGATTCATTTAACTTTTGCGTTGCACCATGTATAAGTGGAGGCAATTTGAAAGGCTTTTGAAAATTTTTGTTGAAAACATGTGATCAAAACACAAGCACATTCAACGCCAAAGAAGAAGAAACACGTTACAATAAATAATTGGTAATAGTATAAGGAAAATTTTGTTAAAATATGTGTTGTGGGTTTTATAAAATGATGCTCGTATACTTATATACCGTGTGTGCACATTTATGTTTGATAAAGTGTATTTTTTATGCTTCATATTATTAAAAAGGTGGATAAAATTTTTAATAGTATGAAGAAGCTTTTGTAAAAGTATGTATTATGATTTTTATAAAATGATGTTTGCGTACTTGTACGTTGTGTGTGAACATACATATTTAACGAAGTATATTTTTATGCAAAATTTGTGTAATCTGATTTAAATTTGTTAAACTACCCAATGATTCTATGAAAAGTTGTACAATATTTGTTTGACAACCAAACAAATTAACTATTTTAATTTATTTAATTAATTTGCAAAACTAATTCTAATTTAATTTGTTAAATTATAAAACATGGACTTTTTTCCCTAAATTTTTTTCTTGAAGAAAACCTTATTTACATTTTTTTTATATAGTCAACTTGTTTGAAATTATTTTCTCCGATGAATACTTTAATTTATGACATATTGAAAAAATAATAAGTGATCATAACATACAAATTTAACACACTGTATATCCTACATAATACATGATATTAAACCTATGTTGTTGTCAATGGTATTTCACAATCATCTAAGCAACACAAATATAAACAATACTACATAATATGTACATTAAAGAAAATAAGTTATATACAACCAAAATAAAATGCTTATGTCAAAGAAATAAGCTATCTTTATTCCTGAAATCGCTTGGATGTCAAAAAATTAAATCTTCCTTATGTTATGACATTAAAAAATTAGTTCTTTTTAGGGTCTGTTCTTACCACAATCACATAATAACAAAACAAAAAATGAAGAATGATTTACATAACCTTAATCACTTTCACAAGGTTGTATGACTAACTTTCAACTTATAACATACAAGTTCTTAGTCTAATAGATGCATGAAAACCTAAGGTTTGACCTAAGTTATCATGATACAACACAATCCCTACCATGCATATAAATCCATACCAATCTCCGATGATTGTTATCAATTATTATGAATCTTGAGAAGTGATTGTTGGGAGGGGGAGGGGAGTGGGATTGGATTATTAAAAGTTTTCAAGGTCCTAAACATTTTTTAGACATTCACAATTTTTATTGTTTCAATCGATAACCCATGAAACATGGACAAGGATGAACAACTAATATTTTTATACTATGAATTACCATATGATAGATGACAATATTTTAATCAATGTATCTAAAATAGATATCAAAACATCTACAACGACTAAAAGAGATTAAGAGAGAAAAAATACTCTAAGATTTATATTGATTCGATCACCCCACCATGATCTACATCCAAACCCCAATTGAGAGTTTCCATTAATCACAATAATTGTTTTACAAACAATTGCCTAAAACACACAAAACATGAGTCTTAAACCCTATTAAGAACTTCTTGTTTTACATAGTTGTAGACTTGAACTACAACCAAAACAAAAGATTTCTTACCCCAAACTCAAAACAAAAACAAAATTTTTCCTCAATGGACAAATTGAAATTCAAACTATTTAGTACTTGATGATCTCCACTTTTTTTCAAGTTTTGATCCTTCATAGAGCTTCTTTGGTGATTATTATTGTTCTTTGAATCTGCAAGTACCTCGATGAGTTGGACAATGACCTTTGCTCTCCAACATCAACGATGGGGGTACTTGTAAAAAGACTCTAATACTAAAATTAGAGAAGGTATAGGTTATAAAACATGAAATACATTAGAATGATACTTTATGTCCCTCATATAGGTGTGTGATTCTTATCATTGAGCATTAAAAGATAATTTAAGGAGATGGTTAGGGGGACATAATTTACTAGTTATTAAAAGATAGTTGGTTAGGATTTTGCCTAGCACTTGCTCCGTGGATCTAACCTAGTGACCCATTGCAATCAAGATGGTAAGGGCAACTTGGCTTGATCAAGTAGGGTTCGAGCTAAGTAGTACATAAGTCTCCCGAACTTCGAGCTCTTTAGAAAGGAGTTACGAATGTTACTCAGGTCGTTTCATTTTTCATCAATTGATCATCTAACTTAAAGTTGAAGAGACTTGTATCAAGGATTGAAACGTATTGCAAACACATTATTCTTGTCAATTAAATAATTTTAAGATTACATAAAAATTTGTAAGATTGATTTATTCAATAATAACCCTCAATTTAATAATTAAATCATTGAAATTTAATATTAACTATGAGTTTTTAAGATTGATTTATTCATTAAATTTTATTTTAAAATTGAGTAGAATAACTCTATCAAGAATCATTATTTTTTTTTTAGGGAAATCAAGAATCATTCTTAAAATATATATATATATATATATATATATATATATTATTTTTAAGAATATTATTTTTAAGAAAATATAATGAGAAAATAATTATTAAATGATCAAACTAAATACTAAAGTTATAGATATTCATGAAATATTGCGTGTGATTTAAATTTTAACCTTTAATTTTTTTCATGTAACTATAACCTCTTTCATTTTTGTAACAAATGTGGTCGAGGTTTATATATTAAATTAAAAACAATGATCCCTCTTGAGTTGGAAACTTGTACTTTTTTTATTCAATCAAAATTAAACATGATGAGATATTTACCAACTTAAAAACAAGATTTTATCAAGTAGGAAATATATACTTATTATAAAGGAATATTATATTTTTATATATATAATTTTTGGACTATTTTACTCTTAATTTTTTAAAATAATAAAAAATATATTAAAAATTAATTAAATCCATGATTTGAACCAAAAACCTTAAGGTTTTTTTTTTGGTATTGGAATGAGAAATAAAAAGAAGAAACTAACAAAAATATAAATAAAACTTAGCCTCTCTGAAACACAGTTCCCAGAGAGTCAGCTAGTAACAAACTAGAAAGAGTCATAGGATGCTCTTGTAAAATAACTAGCCTATCATTTCCTAAAGCTCCCATTCGAGCCAAAAGCATCTGCGCAACTATTACCCTCACGTAAAGTGTGAACAACAGTGCAAGTCCAGTCACAATTGAGCAACTGATGAATCTCCATGAGCTGATTTTCGTAGCGATGAAACATTGGAATAGGTCCCTGTAAGAGAGATACCACCAAAGTAGAGTCTGAATAACAAATAATCTTTCGAAACCATTTATCCCAACAAAGACGAAGACCGTAGAGAAGAGCTAAGATCACTGTTTGAAGAACAGAAACCTCCCCCAAAAAGCCATAAAAGCCAAAGAGGAACTGTCCTTCATGGTTCCGACACAAGCCACCAAAGCCCCCTCTACCAAGCGTGCCAATCCTACTCCCATCCACATTCAGAGCCACTGAATCCAGTGGGGGGTGAATCCAATGCACCAAACGGGGTAGAGGTCGATGCGAGCAGTCAATACTCGTAAAAGCAGAAACAGAGATTTGAAGTAAAGCATTTACTTGAGCTAGAATAGATGTTAAGTTCCAATCCACCTGATCAAAGATGAGTCTGTTCCTGTGGCACCAGATGAACCACATGATAATTATAAACAGAGCTCCATGCGTCTGCACCCGCTTCTCAAGCCAACTACGATGTGTCTCATCAAGAGTAGGTGTTGAGAAATTGCAACCAGATCGCTTCCACACCTCCTGCACCATTGGACAAGTAAAGAAACAATGCTCAAAGCTTTCAACGGCAGAGTTACACTTAGGGCAGGTATTGGAAGCCAAGATGCCACGTTGACAAAGAACCTCCTTAATAGGTAGAGCCAGATGACAACTCTGCCAAAGAAAGAAACACAAACTAGCTGGAAGTGACAACTTCCAAATCCAATTCCAACCTGCAGAGGTTTCCAACCCATGATCCTCTATTAGCCACCTGTAAGCTGATCGTACCGTGTACTTCCCAAAGATATCAGGTGCCCAAGTCCACAAGTCTGGCACACCTACGACAAGATGCGGAGTTAAACAAGATATCTTGAGACGAAAAGTCTCAGAAAAATGTGTGTAAAGCTGGTCCAGCCGCCATGAGGTGCCATCCCAAATATCTTTGACTCGCAACCCAGAATCGTGAATATCCACCCACGGGACAGACGTCGCTAGTGGTTCCTTACCCACCCATACATCCTGCCAAACATCGATCTCTCCATTGCCCAACTTGAGAACTAGACCATCTTCCAAAAGAGCCAACGCCTGAATGATGGCCCTCCAAGTTGGTGAACCTAACTTCTTCTTGGATAAGAAGAGTGAGTCTTACAGGAGATATTTTTCCTTGAGTACTGAAACCCATAGTTGATTCGTTGGGTGTAGTAGATCCCAAACTAGATTCCCCAATAATGCAGTATTTTGGTTTCGAGCGGTACGAATCCCCAACCCACCACAATTCTTTGGTCGAGTGAGCTTGTCCCATCCTACCATGTGTGGGCCTTTACCTTCCCTACTATGCCAAATAAAAGAACGGACTGACTTGTCAATAAAATCACAAATGTATTGAGGATACCAGTATAATTGCATGCCATAGGAAGGTAATGCCGTGAGAATTGAATTGGCGAGAGTAACCCTGCCTGCCTTGTTTAACAATGCACTCTTCCAGCCAGTCAACTTTGAGTTCACCCTTTCAATAAGTGCCATAAAATCTCGGCGATGGATTCGACCTTGAAACGTAGGAAACCCCAGGTAATTTTCAATCCTAGAGGTAAAACGGATTTGAGTAACAGTGGTAATTGTTTCCTTTCGTTGACTTGTCACACCTTTCGAAGCCAATGCTTGGGATTTTTGAATGCTAATCTTTAAACCAGACATATGACAAATGTAACATCCCAAATTTTTCTACTAATACTACAAATAATTATTATTTATTTTTGTATTTATGAAGATTATTTTCTTATAATTATTTTGATTAATTGAATGAGTTTGATTGAATTTTTAAAGGTTTTTATTAATAATCATTTATGAAAATTATTTTGTATAATATTATTAATTATGATATTTTGTTATAATTGTTATTTAAAGAAAATCATGTTTTAAATTGTATTGATATGTTATTTTAATTTGATATATATATATATATATATATATAAGTATTTATTTATTTATTATTTAAAAATTCTGGATTTTCATGGTCCCGGAACGGGCCGTTCCACTTTGGGAATGGGCCGTTCCGGATGTATTTTTAAAGGACAAAGTCTTGACTCAGAACGGGTCGTTCTGGTTTGGAACGGGCCGTTCTTGGAGAGGTTTTTAGACATGTTTTATTTGTCCAGAACGGGCCGTTCCAGATTCAGAACTGGCCATTCTGGCCGCGACCTGATGCTTATAAACAGAACGTTTTTCACTCTCTAAAACTCATTTTTTCATTTTCTAATCTTCTTCCTCCTTTCTCTCTGAAGACGAAGGGGAACCTAGAGGGGGCGACCAACAAGATTCGGCTCTTGCTTATCGAGGTGAGGGGGGAGTGAGAAACCTCGCTCTGGGTGTGAGATTGTATGCTGGGTAGTGGGATTGGCCCCCAATCCTGTGTTTGTTGCATTTTTTGTATGCTTATGTATGAGGGGTTTTTCCCAATTGTATCTGTTTTGCCTATTGTTTTATTATATGTAATTAATCGTATGAATTGAGATTTCTATGAGTTCCTATGGGAAACCCTAAGGGAATGCATTGATAATTGTAAGAGGCAAATTTTAAATGTTTTCTGTTTTACCTTCTGAGTTTTCTGTTGTGTTTCTTGATATTTGCTGAGTGTAAATATGTATATAATCTTGAAAATAAACAAGTTTTGATATGAATTAGAGTGCTCTGTGGGTTCCTGTGGGAACCCTATGAGAAACAGGCAAAATATGAATATTTTCTGTTTTGCTTTCTGATTGTTCTGATGTATTCCTTGTTGAATGAGATGTATAAATATGTGTTTATTTTTGAAAATAGATCAATTTTGATATGATTTTGAGTGCTCTGTAGACACTATGTGAATATGATGAGATGATGTGAAAAATGATGATTATGTGAATATGATGAGATGATGTGAAAAGTGATGACTATGTGAATATGATGAGATGATGTGAAAAGTGATAATGAGACATGATAATGTGATATGGGAATGAGAAATGATAATGAGATATGAGAATGCATAGAGTCTTGAATGACATGCATCATTTGCATAAGTGTTTTAAGGGTACGATATGGAATACACCGCCAGAGAAGGCCCCCTAGTGTAAAAGCTTTGGGGATTAGTCCTTGGGGATAGCTCGGTTTGGAAGTCCCAGTCTCGCCCATTGTGTGCATGGGATGTATCTTGCGCGGCTTAGCTATCCCGACGAGACTCTGGTAGTATATCCTTCTAGTGAGAGTGCGCAGAGGGTGTGACCCGGCATGTACTCCTAGACTACTCTTCGTGTATTGCTAGCGGCAATATGCCATGTGATGTTTTACTGGCGCCACATGCATGATAATATGTAGTCCGTGTCCATGCATATGCATTCTTAATGTTATATGATAAAGTGATGGTTTATGTCTTGGATGAGTGTGATGTTATTATTAATTTATCTATGTTATACTTATTTTGTTTGTGTTTGGCTATTCGGCGTATATTTCTACACTGTGAGCCAGAGTGAGATGTTTCTCACTCCCTTTTTTCGTGTTGTTTTGCTTTGACTATTATACAGGTGATCATCAGCGTGAGGCTGAGGATGTTGGTGATGAAGCTTAGGCTTCTATGTTGGGTTTTGCTCTGATAGGACATGTGACATCGGGACATAGATAGGATTAGTTTAAGATGTTCTTATTAAATTATTTTGGAAAATTCAGTTTTATTTCTTTGTAATTTTATTGACATGTTATTTGGATTAAGTTTATGAATGTGAACTCTTTACCCTTACGTGGTTGGAAATTTGATTTTTATTGATGAAAAATTTTATTTTATTTTATAACTACTGTATATGTATGTTGGGGTAGAGGGTGTCACAACAAAAGCTCTCCAAAACTCTATTGATAGTGATAGCCTGCTCTTTTTCTGCTTTAGCAAACAGCAAGACATCATCTGCAAAAAAGATATGGGACAATTTTGGGCCATGTCTAGTTAATTGGATGGGTTTCCAAGTGCCCTCTTCCACTTCTTGCTGAATCATAATGCCAAGGCACTCCATACAAAGAACGAAGAGATAGGGTGAGAAAGGGTCGCCTTGGCAAAGTCCTCTGATAGGTTTGAACCCATCCAATTTGTTGCCATTCCAAAGTAGAGACAAACTAGTAGAGGTAATGCCATGCATGATTAGTGAAACAATTCGTTCCGGAAACCCATATAACTTGAGGGTTTGTTCAAGGAAATCCCAGTCAAGCCTATCATAAGCTTTCTCCAAGTCAAGCTTGAGTAGGAAGTCACCAGTTTTGCTCTTTGATTTGTGCATGTGATGAACAACCTCTTGAAGAACTATAGCATTATCTTTTGTGCTTCTTCCTGGAATAAAGCTACTCTGCCATGGATGAATAATGGAGTCTAAGTAGGGGCGTAATCTACTCACTAGGACCTTAGACACTAGTTTGTAAATTACATTGCAAAGGCTGATCGGGCGAAAGTCTTTGAAAGTGCGTTGACTCTCGCCTTTAGGAATGAGAACCAATAAGGTGTCAGAGACACTGGCTGGAAAGTTGCCAGTGGAAAAAGCCTTTGCGAAAAAACTCCACACCATATCACCTACATCCTCCCAATACATTTTAAAGAATATAGGTTGAAAGCCATCAGGTCCTGGGGCCTTGTACGATTTCATGCTTAGAAGAGCCTGATACACCTCTTCTTTGGTAATTGGGGCGAGAAGATGCATATGAGCCTCTGAAGGAAGACCTCCTGAACTCCAGGCCGTGGCCACAAAACTAGTAGTGTCTTTAGAACAAAATAGAGCCTTGAAGAACGTGATAGCTTCCCATTGGAGTGTGCTATCATGAGTACACCATTCTCCTGAAGGTAAGAAAAGACCATGTATCTTATGACGTTTTCTACGAATAATAGTTTGAGCATGGAAAAATGATGTATTTCTACTACCCAATCGAATGAACTTTTCTCTAGACTTTTGGAACCAAAAGGTTTCTTCTTGAAAGAGAATAGACTCATATTCCTACAACAAATCCCTGTGAAGGAGGGAAAGTCGAACAGAATCAACAGTTTCTAATGTGCGTTTAATCCCGCGTAATCTGGCTTCTAATTCTCTTTTCTTGTTAAAAATATTCCAAAAAACATAACGATTGAAGACTAATGAGTCCTCCGACACACATTGCAAAGCTTTGACCACATCCTCCCCACCTTTGCGCCAAGCACGCTGAACTACTCGTCCATACTCTTCATGAGTGCACCAAGCCGCTTGGAAGCGAAAGGGTCTCTCTTGACGTTCACGTGACACTTGAGAACAACGCACAAAGAGTGGATTATGATCTGAATGCTGTCTTACCAAATGCTCCACAGTAGCTTCAGGAAAAGCTAATCGCCAAGCCTAGTCACATACACCTCTATCCAATCTCTTAGCAATCATCATCCCGCCCACACTTGCCAGGTAAAATTACTACCAAAGAACTCAAGATCAAGAAGATTGCAAGCATTTAAGCCCTCAGCAAACAAAGATGCACGAACTTTTGAGAAGACCCCACCTCTTTGTTCTGAAGGTAGAAGAGTATCATTAAAATCCCCAATTAACATCCGAGGAAGGTGTAAAGTGCTTCGCAAGTTCTTCAAATGTAACCAAAGATTCTTTCTGAGAACAAAGTTGGGACTACCATAAATAGCTGTCCCATATCAAGAATGACTTCCACGAGAGAGCTTCAGAGTAACACACTGAGGCATGGTGTCTACACATTCCACAATATCTTCTATCCCTTTCTTCACAAGTACCCAAATCCCCCCTGAGTGCCCATTCGCTTCTTCTGCCGAGACCATCTTGTAACCCTGTCTATTCCAAAAACCACTAGAACCCGAAGAAGATGTATGTGTTTCAAACAAAAAAATCATAGTTGGGTGAAATCGGTTAATGATTTCACGCATATGATTGCGACTCCGTGTGCTCGCAAACCCACGAACATTCCAAGAGAGAATCGTAAAGTCCTGAAACCCAATCATTAAAGCTATATTAGTCATTAGAGAGGATTAGGAAAACCTTACGGCTCTATATGGATCTCTTCATCCATCTCTTCATCCGAAGAACTCGCCATCTCCATCTCGGTGCTTTTGTTGGGATTCTCACCCAACTTAGAAGCCAAACACCCTTCCAACACAATCCCTTTGGTAGGTTCCTGATCAATCGAATGTGGCCATGCACGCATAATCGTTGGATCTGGCGGATGGTCCTTAGGGTTCCTTAAGGCGGTCATACCTGCTTGCGTAGAAGATGTCCGAGTCAAGCTATCATCACTATGTAACCTGGGATTGAGCTGGGCATCCGCCACCTCGTTGTTTGTGTAATACCCATTTTTTTTATTATTATTAATTATCAATGATCAAAATCAAAATTTACTCATTTTATAAGGACTTGTTGAGGTTATTTTATGGGGGTTATTTTTATAAGGTTATTACACAAGCATACTCCACAATGATGAGATATTATCCACTTTAGGCTAAGCCCTCACGGTTTTGTTTTTGGTCATCACCCAAAAGGTCTCTCTTACATTGGAGTATGTGTGTGCTTTATAAGTTGTTATTTTTTCTCTTATTTTATCGATGTGGGACTTGTTTGTATCCCAACAGGACTAAAATTAATGTTTACAAATTTTTGAAAGATGAAAAACAAAAAAAACAAAAAAAAAAAACATTAATAAATTTTATTTGTATGTTTTTTAAAAAAATTATCTATAAATGCCATATTTCTAAATGTTACATTACTTAATTATGAATAAACATTAAAACATAATGATTAATAGATGTTAATTTGACGAAGGACAAAAATTTCATAATTAGAGGGATAAATGTCATTGTTTTAAAATAGAGGGATTGAAATTGTAGATTGACAAAAATAGAGACGAAAAGTGCAATTAGCCTAATAAATAAATAACCATGAGAAATATGATGAATCGGAATTCCAGACAGCATAGAAAAGATTTAAATAATTTCACTAAGACTTGGAATAAGCTTACAGCTTATCACGTGATTCTAGTAATTTTGGAGTGTGGAGCCAAGTTTTAAAGTGACAACTAGAACATAACCAAAAGCAAGTACAACAGAAACCAGAAAAACATAAGGTTCATTTGGTTAAAAAAAATGCTTTATGTTTTCATTTTTAATTACAAAAATGTTATCTCGCTTTTATTTTATTTCCTATATTGAAAAGTTTACATAAAAAACAGTGAAAACAATAAAGAGAAATTCTCATTATTCTTGGAAATAATGGATAAAAAAAAAGATGAAAATAAGGTGGAATTTTTCGAATTAAAAATAAAAATGAAACGGAAAACATTTCTCAAACCAAACAACATATTAAGTTCAGATATAAATAAGTCCATAATTTCTTGGTTCACCTAGCTCACTAAGGTTTTGCTAGTTATAACAAAATGAACCAGTTCATATTGGGATGAAATTATTTTACACTTTGACAAAGGGGGAAAAAAGTAGAGTAGTTTAAAATAGATTACCCTTCTCTTCTCTTTATTTTGTACATTCTCTACCAAATATTCATGAGCAATTATAACTCAAACAATTTTTTTTCTTTTTTAACTTTCCTTTCTTATTCCCAACTGTCCAATTCAGCATACCCTGATTACCCTTATTTAAGTATACACATTTTGAATATTCAAGACAAGAGCACATTACACAGGACAAAAGCAACACATAAAACTTGTGTTTGTGTTTGTGCGTTATAACAAATTATAGGTCTGAAATTTTATCAATCTTAACCACTTTATACATACCCGGAAATCTGATAAATTTTGGTTTCAAATCTGCCAGCATTTCAACAAGTTCACTGCGGAAACCATGTCCCTGCATCAAGGTTGAAGATATTACTGAAAGGGTGGAGGAAATGAAGCATTATTTTATAATTGGAACTGATTCAATATTAACTATTTTCATTTTAAAATATTTTATGTCTAAAGAATGTCTGTCTTTTTATAAGGAAAGAATAATTCACATAAATCTTTTTAAACATCATTTCAACCAATATCATTTTGATAATGCTCAGTGGCATAGCAGACACTTGGTCCAACCATATTACACCTTATATGTGTCCAGTGGCATAGCAGACACTTGGTCCAACCATATCACACCTTTGGTGGTAGTGGTTAATTGAAGTCTTGAGTTACGATTCGTTTCTTTGGCAACCAATAAAGTCTCCACCTTTGTCCAGTTAGAAAAATGAAGTGCAGAACCCCTGAAAGATCAAATATCAATATTACTCAAAGATGCAAATGATAATTTTTGGGATCAAAACTACTACACATAAAGTCAATATAGCACATAAAATTGGAGCTCACGTAATCACAGATGAAGCCAGATTTCCTACACCATTTGATCCAGTCAATGAAACTGTTAGATTAAGTGATTCAGTTGAACGAACATAGAAGACCACTTTGTATTTCTTCCCTTGCTCAATATTCTGAAAGAGACCCAAGTAGTAAATATATTAATTGTAGGTCTCAGCCATAAAGCTATAAAAAAAAAAAAAATCTAAATCAAACAATCAAAGTAATCAGAAGGATATAACAAAGTTTATAACCAAACAATTTAAACTAAATTTATGTTATTCATATTTTTGTCTTTTGTTTTTTGTTCAGGAAATATATGCACATAGGATTTATAATTCATTTGATGTAAGGGTATTAGTCTCACCATGCCCCAGAAACCAGGGTTATAAACACCAACACCATCAGCTGGGCAGATGTTGTCACCTTTGCTGTCACATAACACCTCCAATCGAAGTGCAACCTTATTACGGTCAAAGAAAGAGGTACGATCAGTTTCAACATTTATCAGTGATCCATTTCCAATAACTGACCAAGGATCAATATTTGAAGGAGTGTTAGGGCCCCCAGCTTCAAATCCTAAAACAATAATTCATAATATTTCAGTTATCCTTAAAAACAGAGACCTACCTATAACAAAACATCGAGGTAAACAGCAAACCGTCCATTCATTCACATTTGAACATTGATAAAGTAAGATCATCCATCATATCTAAAGCAGAATCTCCCAAAGAAAATGATAAAAAGACACATCAGGCCTCTCCTTTTAATCAAACATTAGATTAAGGTACATAAGAAGCATGAGGGCACCAAACTAAAATGTTTGAAGAAAGGAACTCAATAGACAAACGACTGTGAAGCGACTAAAGTTGTCACTTGTCACGGGTTGTTGAGAAGAAAACACTATAAATTACTTGAATAACAGTGAAAAGGATATCAATTTTCTGATGGACACCCATAATTAAGGAAAGAAAAAGCACAAGTCCTTACATGTGTGTATTTTCAATTTGGAAAAAGCTCCTCTAAAGTGAGAAAGTAAGGATGCATTCTCTTTTAAAGTTTAGCAGGTTAAAATCATGATCTACTTTTAATCAAGGTGGATATACCTTTAATTTCTTACTTTTATCTCATGAATTCTACGTTTTTCTCTTTTCTTTTGATTTTATTTTTCAGTTATTATCATGTTTCCCATCAAGTACAACAGAATGCTGGAACTCTGCTTGAGCATCTGAACATGTAAGTTGCATGAAAAATTGCAGAAAAAAGAATATCCCAGAGAAACCTTCTAGTGCCAGTTTTGTCATTTAAAAGTTTGGAAAATATGAAAATGACCTCTGTTGCTCACAAGCTCAGCCCAAATTCCCCCGGCTCCAGCATGATTGATCTCCTGTAGATGAAATTCAAGAAAATGGTCATTGTCCGATATTTGGATGTGAGGCATCATCAAATTGAATACAAACTAAATCTGCGTTTGCATAATCCCAAGTTACATGCAGTCTATTCAATCACTCATAATCATTCATTACAATGGATGATACATTACATGCATAACATTGATACAATCAATTATTTCATATTTTATCTTCATAACTATTTCTTTAATAACCCATGCATAGCACATGTTCTATCCAAATCCATTTAAAAGAAGACTCTCATATTACACCAGAAATAATAATCAGGTATCAGAAGAAAAAGTCATTAGAAAGAAAGTGAAGCAAGTAAACAAAAAATGAGTGCTACATCTACATGCAAGTTTATCCTTACCTCAAAGAATATGCCAAAAAGTGTCTCTGGTATAGGCTTTCCAGACGCATCAGAAGCATTTACAATTAGAGTTGTGCTCAGGTCAGCATGGTTTTTAGCAAAGCATTGGAAGACAAGGCAAACCACTATGAACAATTGGAGCAGAGAAACACTGCATGAGGCCTTGGATGAACCCATTGTTCACAACATTCAATCTATTTGCACTCTGAAAACAACACAAGGTAATGAAAATTAACAGGAATACTAGGATTATATAGGAGAAACGGAAAAAACCGAAGTTAAAAACAAAACAATCAACATGTCATGTAATCAGAGGTGGACAAAAAAGTACACATGAACAAGCTAACAATTATTGCGTTATCACTCACCACCGCTTAATCCTACAATAAGACAAAAAAAACCGACCCTTTTCTCCCCCTTCTTCTCTTTCTTTTCGGTGTATAAATATAAACGCTAAGACTTCTCTAAAATCCCAGTTAAAGGGAGATACAATAATAATAACGAAAGAAATGCTAATACTTATCTAAAGTCCCGGTTAAAGAGAGAAAAAATAATAATAAAGAAAGAAATGGCATTTCAATAATTGGATGGAACAGTTAAAGTCAACTTCAAACGAAAAGTTCTAAAAGAATTAGATTAAAATATCACAGAGAACACGAAACAATAAAATGAGAATTTAGTAAATTGCGGTAGGAAGAAGCAAGCACTGAGCTCAAATTTAAGGTTTTTAAAAGCATTTGAATGCAATTATTAGTATTATTCATTTATGACATGTTGTGAATTCAGATATTGTCCAAAACACCAAAGAAATGAACAGTAATTATTGCAGGTAGCTGCACCCATGCCACCTAGAATAATAATAATAATAATAAGTACCAGAATATGAAACAGTTATCATCCAATACAGAATCAAGCTTAAGAAAACTACAAAGGCAATCATTGAGAATATAAAAGGGGTCTGTGGTAAAACAATACTCACGGGAATGTTTGATTGAAGCGGAGAAAGAGAGAAGGAGAGTTAAGAAGGGTGTGAATCTGGGGAGTGTGTGAGTTCTCTTTATAGAGAGAGAAAGATTGAAGATTGGATTGGATTGGATCGGTGTGAGTGAAGCAAAAGGGATACAGACATCTGAGTCTACCTTTGCTTCCACGGTTTGAACTGGAACAGTGTGTGTGCGGAAAAGAGACTCTCTCCAGTTTTAAAGATACTGGATGCCACCGATGTGGATGCATATCTTACCATAACTTGAGTTCCTAATTCACCTAAACCTTTCCTTAAAAAAACATGGATCAGATCTTAACTGTTGATTAATTTCAAGTTAAATTACTACTTTTGTCATGTTTAGTTTCGATTTTAACCTCGTAAAAGAGATAAACATATATATGAAAATGATATAAAAATAAGGTTTAACTGTAATTTAATTAAAAAATTTATTAAATATTAATTTTTGAATTATTTATTCGATACCAATTCATAATTAATATTACAATTTTATTGATTAATATATAATATTTAACAATTGAACTAACATTATAAATTTTACTAAATTAAAAAAAATTACATGTTAAATATCATGTTAGTTTATACAAATACTTAAATATTTGATAGAAATTTACTTTTCTTATAAGTAGATTTAACATTTTTAATATTATTAAAATTTTACTTGACGGATATATTCTATAAAAAAAATTAATAGATCATTATTAGTCTTCAATTTTACAAATAAAACTCAAGTCAAATCAGATGTTAATTATGATTTTGATTACCCAAAAAAAAGTGATAATATAAAAATCATCAAAAAAATTAAGTTTTTTAATAGATCTTTACTAGTTCTCAATTTTACAAATAAAACTCAAGTCAAATGATTTTAATTATCCATAATAAAAAAGTGATAACATAAGAATCATTGACATGTTTAGTAATTGTGAGTATTATCTTCTTTCTATCATTTTTATTTATCAAAAACTTCATTTAACTATCAAGTCTGATAAAATTCTTGATATTTTTAAATAAAGTAAATAAAAAATAAGTTTATTCATAGATTAAATTTAGTTAAGTTTAAGTAAAAGAAGCATAATTAAGAGAAATTGGTGGCACTTGTGAGTTGTGTTTAGGATTTTCTTGCGTGGGGTGTGAGGGACCCACCATCGTGTTTGCCGTCTGGCTTTGACGTGCTACCTGCGTGGCGTGTCGTAGCTAGGGCTGTCAAAGTGGGCTGGGACCCGTGGGCCAACCCGGCCCACCTTGAAAACGGGCCGGGCCGGGCCAAAAAAAATTGAAGTTTTATAGTAGGTGGGTATATTTCAACCCGGCCCACTTTGACCCGGCCCACCCGGGCTAAACCCGTCGTGGCCCGTATATTAATTAAAAAAATGTAATTTTAGAAAAAAATTCCCCCATATGACTACGCAATATATGGGACAAGGATACAATGTTGGCCATCATTTTCGCCTAAATGGGTGACAAGAGTACTATCCAAAAGTTTTACGTAGTTTTCCAAGGACGCAACCCAGGCATTTACTCTTCATGGGCGGAATGTGACGCTCAAGTAAGCGGGTTTAAGGGAAACAGACATAGATCATATGCAAGTTACGAAGAAGCACTGTCGGAGTGGATAAGGTACTGTACTAACCATACCACCGGCGAAGAATCCAGTGGTAATCAACCTTTTCGTCCGAAGATGGAAGATCCAGTCGGCATGGCGTCATCACAATGGCATGGTGAGAGAAAATTTTTGATGGTCATTCAAAATAACCATTTTTGTCATCTATATTATCGCATATTTTTTTTAA